TACCATGCAGGGCAAAGCAAAAGGTTCACTCTCCCGCCCTCCACTCCAGCGGCACATATCTTTTTGTAGCTCCCCCACCACTCCATTAAGTAGTCAGCAGTGGGGAAAGACAGCCTTGTCAAAGCTCAAGTTGGATCTCCAGTCAGAGCTTCCACACAGAGCAATCTCCCCACCCATATGTGGCAGCTCTGGGTCAATCACCAAGCACCAGCACTGTCACATTGAGTGACTCACTTGACCGTCCGGGCTCATAAGTACTTCAACATTTTTTTTGCTCCCAGCAGAAGAACCGAGTGGCAGGGGATTAAGAAAGGTTAAAGGAGAACTATGAGGTGAGTGAAAATCACTCGTAGTTCAAGCCGACGTGTGATAATGAAACTGTCACTTGTCGGCTCAATAGATTAGGAAGTGAGTCGCTCTCTCACTTCTCGATCCTGTCCCTGCAGAGAGCGCTGACTTTCAGTCACGGCTCCCTGCAGGGATCCCCCCCCCCCCTCCGATCCTCCAGCGCTGACTGGAGGAAGGGGCGGGTATACAGTTGGCTCTGCCTCTAGATGGGCAGAGCCCGCTGTCACTCACGCAGCTGGGTGGATCTCAACAGGAATGTCGGGATCCGTCCCGGCTGCGGCGGTCCCAGTATACCGCAAGCTAAATACTGAGCTTTGGGTCACGGGAGGACGCCAGTATATATCCTCCCATGACCCTTAAGAGAACTATGGGAAAAAACACTTACCCCATCATTCTCTTAAGTATGTGCTGATGGGAGATCGTGCTTTAAAGTTCACCTGTTGCCTTAAAAATTTGCCCTTTGCTTTAGTAACATCTAGGATTGCCCATCTCCCAGAGTCTCCTATCAAATAAAGCCTTACTAAAAAAAAATACTGAGTACAGCATATTTTCTGGTCATGCTGCAATACCAGACCTCACCAGCAGGCAACTGGAAGACTGTACTTCTAGATTTCTGGCCCAAGAAAAACTGGACACTGCTAAATTGGGACCCTTTCTGTGGTAATAGGTTAGATTTCATAGACAACTCCTGATAGTTCAGAAAGCATATGGGGTGCAGAAGCTCAGGATAACAAGAAATTACCTTTCAACATTTGGAGGGAGGGGGGGGTTTAAAGTGACAATAAACTCAGGAGTTAAATCTTAAAAATACACTGAAGTACCTTAACTATTAACAAAAATGTATGTTTTTTGTGTATCACTCGGCTGTAGATCCTCAAATCACCTCTGGATTGGTCCTGACACTGTCCTTCCTTCTGGAGGGTGAATACTTTTATTCCCCATGGTCCCTGTGTGTGTTGTAAAGTAGTCACCGCTCCAAGCTCATTCCCATGATGGACTACAATCTCAATACAAATGAGTAAACTAAACGTGAGATTGTAGTCCATCATGGGAGTGATCTTCGAGCGGTGACTACTTTACAACACACACAGGGACCATGGGGAAGAAAAGTAGCCACCCTCCAGAAGGAAGGACAGTGTCAGCACCAATTCAGAGATGATTGGAGGATCTACAGCTGAGTGATACACAAATAGGATACATGTTTGTTAATGGTGAAGGTACTTGAATGTATTTTGAAGATGTAACTCCTGAGTTGTCACTTTAATGAAAACGTAGCTAATTGGTTGGAGGGCTTCATGCTTTCTGACTAGATTATCTGAATATTTGTATATTGTGCATCACTCATCCCCTAACTTAAGAAGTGTGAATATTACAAATATTTAAGAAAAATGTACATTCGGTTTAAAAAGAGATTGTACCACGGCCAGTAAGTGAAGAGTTTCAGACATTGCCACCATCACGCACCAGCTGAATTATGACACGGGTAAGTGTATCCTGCAGTTTGTTTCAGTGAATGTCAGGCGATCTCCATACTATTTCACAAAGTGTTTATGGTTTAGTGAAGCTGATCATAGATTGGCTGAAGGGGATTGGGGATCTCCCACAAACATTAGATACTTGGTGTTCTATACCAGAACTTGCTACTACAATGTCCATGGAGTGCCCGCAACTTCAAAGGGAAAAAGGCCATTGGGGAGGCTAATCAATTTAAATCTGGCAACCCATTCATTCTGAGATACGTACCCCACGAGGAGGGTTTTTTTTTATTACACGTGATTTGTATGATAAACAGAGCAAATTGAAATGTTGTAGTCTGAAGAAACATCCTTGAAAGTGCAGTCTATGTTTACTAGGTAGCAGTGGCGGCACAGAGGGAGTTCTCTGCTTTCTAAAGATTAGATAGGCCAGCTCTCATATTAATATTCATCAATGTTCAAAAGAAGTGTAAAGAGGAATAGATGGTCTGTAACAATGTGATCCAGAAAGAGAAGGAGTTTCTTTCCCCTCAGCCACCAATCAGACTGGAACTCCAAGTAAGAATATTGATTTATCTTTATATTTAAGTAACAATAGGAAGGTTTGTGCTGTCCTAGCAGACATGTCTAGCTGGCTTATATTATTACCTTCTAGTAGACTGTGTTAAAGTCCTAAGTGATTGCATGAATGAAGGGCTACTTCCTCCTGTTGAACCATGTTAGACCCATCTTTAGGGTGTAATATGAAACATGGTCAAGTATCAACAGCCCC